AAAGGAAGTGGAATTTAAAGTAGGGTACAAAGTGTTTGTTAATGTTGCCCCATACAAACATGTTATGAGATTTGGTAGAAAAGGAAAGCTTGCTCCACGATATATTGGTCCTTTTGAAGTACTAGAAAGGATTGGAAAAGTAGCTTACAGACTTGCATTACCACTGAGCATGGAACAAGTGCATAATGTTTTCCATGTGTCATTGTTATGCAAGTACATAAATGATCCTTCTCATGTGTTACGAGTTGAGGAAGTACAATTGAAGGAGAATTTGATTTATGAGGAGCGTCTAGTCCAAATATTGGATAGAAAGATTAAAGAGCTCCAGAATAAAAGTATTCCACTCGTCAAAGTTCTTTGGAGAAATCACAAGATCGAGGAAGCCACTTGGGAAGTGGAGCATGACATGAAAGACCACTACCCAGTGTTATTTGCTTAATTTCGAGGACAAAATTCCTATAAGGAGGGGAGAAACGTAAACCCAACCGATGCATCCAAGGGTAAAATAGTCTTTTCCTTTTTATGTGTTAAGTTAACTACCATGCACATGCCTTAGGGGTAAAGTGGTAAAAGAATAATTATATTTTGTTGGCTTGACAAGATAAAGATGATGAAGGATTAAGGAGTAATTAAAAGACAATTGTTGAGGGCAAAAAGGAAAATAATGTTATAGGACATTAAATGGAAAAGACAAATGTCAAATGAATAATTCTTTTGAAAAAAAAAAAAAAAAAAAAAAAAAAAAAAAGAAGATATTAGGTGGTAAGAGTCGGCCAACATATGTCTTCTACCACTTTTCATTCTCTTCCTCAAGTTTTCTACAATCTTCCATAATTTTCTTCACTACTCCATTAAGATTTCAAGTCTCTTAGTTGCAATCTCTCAAGTATCTCATATTTCTTCCATTATTAAGGATATTAAGAGGTAAAGTTCAACTCCTTATCTTATATAAATATTCTGTATTTCAAGTTATTGAAGTTTCCTTATAATTTATGTTAAGAAAAGGGTCAATTGGAGATAAGGAGGAGGAAATTTGCAAAGGAGTGTGGTTTCTTGGCATAAGGTAAGGGAAACATCCCTTTAATAGGAAATAAGAATTAGGTTTCTAGGTTTAGTATTAGGGAACCTAAATTCCTGTCACACAATAGCAATTGAGTTTGGTTTGATGCTATAATTGATGGATTTATATGTGAATTGTAGAAACATTGAAGTTTGATGACAATCAATGGAATTAGTTGTGACATGAGTTTTTAATATATTACAAGGGAGGTTATTATTGATCATTTAACATGTTTTCACAGGGGAGAATGGTTAGGAAAGATTAGGGAGTAAGTGGAGGTAAATAGGTAAGGAAAATCCCTAAAATAGGCATGTTACCGTGGTTGCCCTATCACAGCCGTGACTTTCTGAGTGATATTTGGGCATCTTACCGATTGAACTAGGTTGAGACCTAAACACAAAAGTTGTAGTCCTATCTCTAAAATTTTAAATGAGACTAGGATAATGTCAATCTGATTTGTATAACTCAAGTTATGCCTTCTTGAATCTGATCTATGCAGAATGACTACCTCAAAGTGCTTCTAATTTCTTAATTTACCTTTTAGCCTAATAATCTATGATTGATTCCAAGTATGGAAATGATGCTTAAAGGGTGTTGAACTATGTTTGAATGAGTGATCTTTATGATTATTTAATGATTGTATAAGCATATATAGTTGATGTAATGAATGACCATGGAGGTTATGTGTAATATGTTATGTATTACCTAATTATGAGCTTGTATATGTATAAACAAGCCTAAGTATGATATGTTCTATGAATATGTTATGAATCCACAAAATGGTCATGATGAAATGATATGCTCATATATGGAAAGTGTATGTTTTTTTGAAGATTAAAGCATGCCAAGCATATTAATGATGAAAAAGGGGGACTTGATCCCAAGTTTGAGCAAAATGCTTCCAAGGTACATAGACATGCATTTTTGTGAAGGAAAATGATTTGTAAATTTTATGGAAGATGTTAGCATGTTATGGGGAACCTGAGCTCACTCATGCACATGTCTAGACCAAAACAAATGAACAGTCCACAGCGTGCATGACCATGGGGACTGTGTTATAAGTTAAGGTTGGTTCATTGGCCAAAGGTTCCGTAATCCATGCCTCAGCTTAGTTCGATCGGTAGACAGTGAAAGGTTTTTAAAGAAAAATGTATTTATACATGCATGACATTAATGTGCATTATTCATGAACATTAAAGGAAAGCATTGCATGAATTATATTATGCCTTATGATATGGATTGAATATGCTATGTTATATTACTTTTATGTTATTAATGTTTGGTTCATGTACAAGTAAATAAGATGCTTCCTAATTTTAAGAATGACATAGGGTTAAATGATCGATACCCTTACTGAGTGATTAGCACTCATTTCCCTAGTTTCCATGTTTTGCAGGTAATGGTTAAAGCGGTAACGGCGAGCGGCGATCAAGGAGGCTTGGGGCATGCATGTTTTTGTTCTAGCTAAACTTATGATGTTATATAAAGGATGTTGCTTTTGAATTTAATGTATATAGTTTAATGTTTATAATCTAAGTTTTATGAAATGGTAAATATATTTTGCTTATAAATGATGGGAGATATTTTATATTTGCTTCCGCTATTAGAACAATTGATGTTGTTGTTTTCTTTAAACCATATTTTTCATATATAGTCATGTCTTGATAGGTTGATTAAGAAAGTAATATAAATGCGAGGAGAAGTTTTTATTTATTTATTTCCATATAGGACATGTTTGTAACCAGGATTTACGTTTTAAATTACACAACCTTCCAGGCGTGAATTCTCTAAGTTTCCATCCTAATGGAATACTTAGAGGGTACCCGGCTGGAGGGGAGTGTTACAAACTCGGTGAAGGAAGTTTTGGAAAAGTTTACCGTGGCTACTTGGAGGATGATACTGAAGTTGCTGTGAAAATTCTTTCTGAATTATCTAATCAAGGGTATGAATAGTTCGAAGAAGAGGTATGAAATAACTCTGACCATAACATATACTTAAAGTTTTGAGCATATTGAAATATGGGCATTCAACGTCTAAAAAAGTTAAATTTACAGCTGAAGCTACTTCGGACAATGCAACACAAAAACTTGACAATCCTTTACAGATATTGTGATGAAGGCAACCAAATTGGGCTCATCTATGAGTACATGGCCAAGGGAAACTTGAAAAACTACCTGTCAGGTAATGCTGAAATAAGTAATACAATTTTTATTTCCTAAAAATAAATTTATAAATGAGATAAAAGTTTATTCAATTAAAACAGTTCATAAATGGTTTGGCATTTTCTTGATGGAAGTAGATAGGAATGCAGATGTCATGAATTGGGAAGGGAGACTTCGTGTAGTAGTGGAGGCAACACAAGGTTAATTAATTAGCTAACATTTCATTTAGTTTCTTATTTGTGGCTTTAAGTTAACTTAATTAAGACGAATTTGAAATGTAGGATTGGAGTATCTACACCATGGCTTTAGGCCACCAAGAGTACATATTAAGTGACAAATTCCAAGCCAAAATAGTTGATTTTGGACTAATAAAATCTTTCCCAGTTGAAGGTGTCACTCATATGTCAACAGCTATTGTTGGCACCATCGGGTACCTTAACCCTGAGTAAGTTCTTTCCTTCTTCTCATATTTTGTAAAAGGTTTTGAATCTCAATTCCCATGTTTGTTGTTAGTTGTTATGGACTAAGTAATCTTTTTTTACTTGCAGGTATAGTCAAACATATAGATTAACTGAAAAGAGTGATGTTTTTAGTTTTGGGATTGTTCTTTTGGAGTTGATCACAAGTCGACCTGTGATTGCAAATATTAATGAGAATAGTCACATAAGACAATGGGTTGGTTCCATGCTTGGATGAGGAGATATCAAAAACATTGTTGATTTAAGATTGCGAGGAGACTTCGACATTAGCTCTGCCTAGAAAGTTGTTGAAATAGCAATGCTTAGTGTATCTCAAACTTCAATCAGAAGGCCAACCATGAATCATGTAGTGAGGGAATTGAATCAATGTTTAGACAGGGAGGTTGCTCGAAAAGGAAGCCGTGGGGCTGAACTAAGAAATCAACATGAAATGATCTCTCCAAATCTAGGAACTGAACTAAGTCCTTCAACAAGGTAGAGCTTTGGTCATGAAATGGCAGGAATATTTCAGCATAATAATGTGATAATCTATTGTTCAGTGTAGATAATAAGAACTGCATTTTAACTTTGTAGGAAAAAACTAAATAATATATGCCATGAATAGTGTGTGATGGTTCTTAGCTGGAGAATGCGAAGAGAAAGATGAAGAGAACTCAGAGCAAGTGTGCAAAAGTCTGTATTTTTCATTGAAGTTGTTCAGTATATACATTAGCTTAACAACTCTATGCTGATTCAACAACTACAGCAGACATTACAAATTTAAATTTAAACTTAACAACTAATATTTGATAACAATACACACCATAATACTAACTTAATTACACTTAAGCCATTCAACTACAATACACTAAAAAACTACTGCCATGCTTGGACAACTGCAGAAAGTTATCTTTAACAGACTCCAAAAATAAACCAACTGAACCTGCAATGTTGATGCATTTCCAGCAAAGTATCACTGCATCAACACTCCTCCTTGATACCTTTGCTGGAAACACCAAGTTTGAGTCTAAGTTCCTCAAACTTGGCTGTAGGCAATGCTTTGGTCATAATGTCTGCAGTTTGGTCTTCACCCTGGCAGTGAATCAAAGTAACTTCTCCATTGTTTTCAGCCTCCCTTACAGCATGAAACTTTATCTTAATGTGCTTGGTCCTGCTGTGAAGGACTTGATTTTTGGCCATGGCAACCGTTGACTGATCTTCACACAAAATTGAAATTGCCCTTTCCTGATTCTGCTTCAAATCTAACAGTACTTTCCTAAGCCAAGCAGCTTGGTTTACAGCTGTTGTAGCAGAAATATATTATGCCTCTGCTGTGGACTGTGCCACAATATCTTGCTTCTTTGACAACCAGCTGATTGCACCAGAATTGATATAAAATACATATCCTGATGTACTTTTCATGTCATCAAGTGATCCTCCCCAATGACTGTCGGTATAGCCCACCAACACAAGATTCTCAGCCCTCCTAAACCAAATACCTAGACTGAAGGTTCCTTTCACATATCTTAACACTCTCTTGGCTACCCTATAATGCAATTCACTTGGACAACTCATGAACCTAGAGAGATAGCTAGCTGCAAACATAAGGTCTAGTTGTGTGGCTGTTAAATACAGCAAGCATCCTACCAAACTTCTAAACAGTCCCTCATCCACTCTTCTCCCACCATCAATCTTGCTCAATTTCAGATTAGAAACTAATGGAGTATCTGCAGGTTTAGAATTTTCCATCCTAAACTTTATAAGCACCTCATTTGCATACCTCTCTTGGCACACAAAGATTCCATTCTTGGATTGAACAATCTCCATACCAAAAAAATATGTCATCTCCCCCAAATTTGTCATCTCAAATTTAGATTGCATGGACCTTTCAAACTTGCTCAACTGGTTTGGATTGCTTCTTGTAATCAGCAAATCATCCACATACAAAGATATCACAATCAAGTCACCTTTAGCTTCCTTAACATAAAGAGTATGTTCATTAGGACTTCTCACATATCCTAGACTGCTTAGGTGATCATTTATGCGGCTGTACTAGGCTCTAGGTGCCTGCTTTAGGCCATACAAGGCCTTTTCTAGCAATTACACTTTGCCTTCTTCACCCTTCACTTGATAACCTTTAGGTTGTTCTACAAAAATTTCCTCACTCAAGCAACCATTCAGGAATGTTGATTTGACATCAAGTTGAAAGATTTTCCAACCAAATTGGGCTGCCATGGCAAGGATCAATCTAATAGTCTCATGTCTAGCCACCGGAGCAAATGTGTCAGAGTAATCCACCCCTTGTTGCTATGCAAATCCTTTTGCCATAAGTCTAGCCTTGTGTTTATGGAATGTACCATCAGGATTAACCTTCAGCTTGTAAATCCACTTTACCTGAATTATTTTTCTGTTTTTCAGGTCTGTCAACAAGTATCCAGGTGTTGTTTTTCTCAATCATAGATATCTCCTCCTGCATTGCATTCCTCCAAACTTCTAACTTAGTACCTTCAGCATAGTTTCTTGGTTCAAGTATTACCACATTACACCTTGCATAAACATCAGCCAAGGTTTTGGTCCCTCGAACCATTGGTTCTTCATCCTCTTCAGTTTTAGCTTCTTCAAATAAGTTTTCGGTTGGCTGTTGCATTTTGCAGTCAGCATCTATCCTCTTACTTTCCCAATTCTATACTGCATTTTCATCCACCCTTATAGCCCTTGTTATAGCAATTCTCTTTGACTTAGGGATATATACTCTATACCCTTTTGATTAACTACTGTAGCCAATGAATATGCCAATCTCAGGTTTATCGTCAAGCTTAGTTCTCTTCCTTGCTAGAACCATGACATAACACACACTCCCAAACACTTTCAAGTAACTCATTGCTGGTTTAATTCCATTCCAAGCCTCAGTTGGAGTTTGCCCTTTGACTGCCTTAGTTTGCAGTCTATTCAGGAGATAGACTCCTGTATTTACAGCCTCAGCCCAGAACTTCTTAGGGAGTTGTTTCTTAGCCATCATACACCTAGCCATCTCTATGATGGTCCTATTTCTTCTCTCACTGAACTTATTTTGCTATGGGATGTATGGTGTAGTGAACTGGTGCCTAATTCCAGCTTGTTGACAAACTGAACTGAATTCTCTTGATGTATATTCAGTTCCATTATCACTTCTTATGGATTTGATCTTTGTTCCAGCCTGATTCTCCACCAGCAGTTTGAAATTTCTGAACACTGCAGGAACCTCATTTTTCTGCTTCAAAAAGTATATCCATGTCATCTGTGTGAAGTCATCTATAAAGAGTACAAAATACCTGCTTCCACTCATTGATTCAGTCTGCATAGGGCCACAAACATCAGTATGGATCAGTTGGAGTTTTATTGTTGCTCTCTATGCCTGATCTAAGGGAAATAGGGGCCTGCTTAGTTTGCCAAGTTGGCAAGCATTGCAGAGGGTACTCTTCTCTTCAATCTCAGGTAGGTCCTGAACCATATTCTTATTCTTTAACTCTTTGAGGCCATTGTAGTGAAAGTGCCTAAGTCTTTTGTGCCAGATTTTTTTACTCTTCCAGCCTAGTTGATAAAGCTAAGTTGTTGGTGCTTTTCCACTCAACTGGGAAGCTTTTTCCCATCATTTTTACACACATTAATTCAATCCCTTTAGGATCTAATATGGTGCATGCTTGATTTTGGAAATGTAAAGAATAGTCCTTCTCTAACATTTGCCCAACACTTAAAAAGTTTTGGCTGATCCTAGGCACATACAATACATGAGAAATGATCTTGATTCCTGAGCTGGCTTGAACAGCAACATCTCCTATGCCTTTAACCTCCATGAACTCACCATTTCCTATTTTAGCTTTGGAATATTATGAGTTGTCCAGGTTAATGAAGCTTTGCATGTCTATAGCCATATGGTTGATATAGCCACTGTCAATTAGCCAAGCTTCATTGCTGGTTTGTGCCATGTAACAAATGGCCACAAAGGGTTGTTAAGCCTCCTGACATTGTTGCTACTCTTCTCCAACCTGAGCTTGCTGTGTTGGCTGGCTTCCCTTGTTCTTACAAACCCTTTTAATGTGCCCAAATTGTTTACAACTTCTATATTGTATCCCTCGTCTGAACTAGCACCTCCTCTCTAGATGTCCTGTTTTTTTACAATGAGTGCAGGCTGGAAACTCCTTCACTCCACTTGACTTCTCCCACTGATTGCTACTCTTTTCTTTCCCCTTTTTATCCCCAACATACTTCCTAGTTTGTCCTTGTGCAGGTTTGCCTTTATGGTTTGCCACCATTGCACCCTCACTTGTGTCTTCTTGCCTCAAGAGCCTTCTTTGCTCTTGAGCTTAGAGAGCATGAACAAGCTCAGTCAATGTGATATGAGTCATGTCCTTAGAGTCCTCAAGAGAGGAGATTTTGGACTCAAATCTCTCTAGCAAACTCACCAAAACCTTTTCCACCACCCTTCTATCTGTCAACCCACTCCAATCAGCCTTATTTTATTGACAACACTCATTAACTTGTCAACGTAATCCTTGACTTTTTTTTATTCCTGCATCCTTTGCATCTCAAAATCTCCTCTTAGATTAAGCACCTACATGTTCCTTGTTGTGGTGCTGCCCATATACTCTTCTCTCAGCTTGTCCCATGCTTCCTTTGGAGTCTCATAAGCCATGATCCTTGTGAATACAAGGTCAGTCACAACTGCATGAATGTGAGAGAGAGCTCTCAATGCTTTGGCTATTTCTTCCTTATGTAATCTCATTTGATTCAAAGTGGGATTCTATCCTAATGGAAGTGGCTACCTGTTTTCTTCCACGTACTGCCACAATCCCTATCCCCGGAGGAAGGCCTTCATTTTAATAGCCCATATGTGGTACTGTTCCCCATTGAACACCGGTGGTGCCATCAAAGCAAATTGAGTTGCCATGTCTCTGTTTTTTGTGTCTGTCGCAGAGAGGAAGAAGAAGAACATATGAAGTTGGTTTTTGTTGAGAATGGAAGATATTCTTGAGTTGTAATAGACAGTTTAAGGCACTAGGTTTTTGGTTTTTGTAACTAGCTCTAATACCATTTGATGGTTCTTAGCTAGAGAATGCAAAGAGAAAGATGATGAGAACTTAGAGCAAGTGTGCAAAAGTCTATATTTTTCATTGAAGTTGTTCAGTATATACATTAGCTTAACAACTCTCTACTGATTCAACAACTACAGTAGACATTACAAATTTAAATTTAAACTTAACAACTTATATTTCATACGCAATACACACCATAACGCTGACTTAATTACACTTAAGCCATTCAACTACAATACACTAAAAAACTACAACCATGCACACTGGACAACTACAAAAAGCCATCTTCAACAGACTAAAAAACAAACCAACTGAACCTGCAATGTTGATGTATTTCTAGCAAAGTATCACTGCATCAACAGTGTGTATGTGCATGCTCATTTGTCTGTCAATTTTAGACCTTAAACTTCAGTTATTTTTCACTTTAGTGGATAAAAATGAAAATAAAAGTAGCTATGCTTGTAGTTTAGTTAATGAATGCATCTTTTCTTTTTCTTGTAAGAATGAAACTCATTGAATTGGTGTCAAAGAACTTGTATACATTCTGTGAAATCCTAAAACTCTTACTCCGCCAATGGTATTGTAACAAATATTTTTGTTAAAACACGCAGTAACTTGTTGGACCTAGTTTCTGATTTTAATGAGTGAAAGTACAAGAAATACAAAACATGATAGAAACTCTATAGAAAACAGAGAGGGGTAGCAAAGGATTGGAGGACAATCTCAAGTTTGGAATAAATTAAATAGCCATCAACTTCATCGCTTAAGCGATTTAACACATATCGTTTAAGAGATATGCTTATAGATAAGTCTATATTGCTTGAGAGATAAGCTTATATTGCTTAAATGAATGGTCATTTAGTAAAGAGTTTCAAACTTCAAGGCTATTTAATTCATTCTAAACCAGGCCATCTCGAGAACATTTGTGACCTTGGGAAAAAGGTTACTTTGGGGGCCTTCTAATAATATAAGCATATATTAAAAAAATTATTTCAAATTTATTTTTCTTGGCTTTTGAGATGCAAAATCACTAGGAGAGGTGGACGACAACTGACAGGCTAACAGGGTTAGGTTGGTGGGGGGTTTTGGAGAGCATATGCTGGAGAAGTGATGGGTGGTGAAATAGGTGATTTCCAATGCCAGGATTGACCAGAAAAGACTTGAGAAATCATGGCCCAAAAGGTATCGGTGGTCGGCAATTAGCAGAGTAAACGGATGAGGTATGATAGGGATTTTGGTGAAAAGGCTGAAGGGAGGAAGATGGTGGTGTTGGGGAAGGCCAACGATTACATGCCGAAAAGGCCAGAAATGGCTATCGCACGCAGTGGAGCTAGGTTACAAAATTCGTAAAAAATCAACTAAATCGACAGCTATCAAGGTTGAGAAAACACTTGGAAAATGATAAAGTGATGGTTCCGGTCAATTTTGGTGAGAAAATCTACCAGAATTAGCTCCAAACGACCTGCAGCAGAAGAGGGGTGGAGATGATTTATGTGAATGTCAAATTTTGGGACTGAATTGGGGGCGAGTAATTTGAGACATGTAAATAACCATTTTAGCCTTTCATTGTTAAAAGAAATTCAATGTATTAATTTAGGGGTGTAAATTAGAATGTATGAAACTAGAGGTACAAACTTGCTATTTCGTCAAACTTTGGGTGGGAACATAAAAAGTTTATAATAAATTTGGGCCTTTTGGTTTTTTTGGGGCCCCTTGGATTGACCTAGATGAAAAATTATACACTATTTTTACTTTTATAATATATTCAAAAAAAAAAAAAAGATTTATAAAAAATTTGACCCTTTTTTACCCTATTTTTTGGGGGCCTTAGGCAAGTGCCTCATCTGCCTACCCCTTGAGTCGCCCTGTTCTAAACTTGAAATGATATTTTAATTAATTTTCATCCAAACGGATGATTCAATAGAGTACTTTTCCTTGTTCACTGTTAACAATAAAAACAAAATAAAATACTAATCCAACAGAGCATTAAATCACAATGAAAACGTTAAAAACATTACATTGAATTAAAATTTAAAAAAAAAAAAGGAAATTTGCAACATCATATTTATTATTACAACAAAACAGATCTGAAACCTTTCAAATTAACATCAGAAATCAGTGCAATGTGCAAAAAAACTAAAAGGAACAAACTTGAGAAGCATATATTCCACTACTTTGTGGGCCCATGATGGCGACGATGGTGTAGTCAAGGCCGCGATCGAGGAGGTTGGTGGTGCGGAGGAAGATGTCGACACCGTCGACATTGAAGTCACCATTACTAGCAATGAGCTGGATGGAGCAAGGAGAGACTTCAGCCATAAGGAAGCCAAATTGAAAAAGAAGTGTATAGAAATAGATTTTTCTATTAACCAAAGGATTACTTCTTCAATATCACCCTCGATTATGAATATTTTTGGAATGAATAACAATTGAAAGAGTAAAACGTATTTATACTCAACTAATCCTAATACTATTAGGACAAGAAATAATCAAACCCTAATTCTGCTATAACCTAATACTCTTGGGAAAAGAAATAAGAAAATCTTAATTCTACTATAACCTAATACTATTATAA